CCCACACCCACACCCACACCCACACCCACACCCACACCCACACCCACACCCACACCCACACCCACACCCACACCCACACCCTCATTTTATATCATGAAATATTTGTAACTTAAAGTTGTTGTAAGTCAGAACGTTTTTTCATCGAATACGTCTTGAATACATTATGTGTGGTGTTTGCTAAGATATTGATGCTTGTTTTTTGTGATTTACTGATTATTTTTAATTCAGATTTGTCTTCTGAGCTAGTATATATAATTAGTGTCGTTCACCAGTTATTTTTGTACTTTAAATATACCAAATGTAAAAGATTCATTAGTGAAAGAATTGACAGAATAAACTATTTCGATCTTAACATCAGGAAGAATTTGGCACAGTAGCCGTGTATACTAACCAAAACTCAATTTGTTTTATGATGTTTCTTTGAAATCATCTGTAACATGTGGGTGTAACCAAATTGATAACCTTTTAAATTGAAGATGATTCGAAACTGCTTTCAAGAAAATTTCTTGAAACAAGCTAATTTTGCATGGGCAAGCATGAATATTAGTCTAAATATTTGTTTTAGCGAGGTTCAAATAATTTATAGCAAAACTTTCATGATTTTCTAATTCTGAAAGAAAACATTCGACTACGTAGCAGCTATGAAATTTGTTTCAATATTTTTTTTCTTACAGTGAGTTTTGTTTAATTCTTTGTCACAGGAATATACTACATCGTTTTTATTGTTTTTATTTTTGACACTTTTATTTTCATTTGAAATAAAACAAATGGATGCATTTGATGAACATGAATAAAATATTTGCGATTGCGATGTATGAAAAAATTAAAAAAGCTTCGTATCTTATCTTATCACATAAAAGAGTGGAAAAAAATAATCAAATATTTGATGACATGTGGAGAGTTTGAACACAATATATTCGTTCTTTTCAAGGGGAACATGTTAAAACCACCTGTAACCTATTGCAAAATGTTCTGTTACTACCCATTATTCTATTTTAGCCCCCTTCATTACTAGGAGAACAACCTTCTCAGTGATGAACATCAAAAAATAAAAAGAATTTCTCCCAAACCAGATTAGTGTTAAATTGTTTCTTATCTTATGCTAATTTAGGATAAATTAGAATTACAGTACAACCTCCCTTAATGAACACCTCTATATAATGAAGACCTCCCAATTCTGAACAATGAACACTTTTTTTGGTCCCTTTAGCAAAGAAAACCTCTATATAATGAACACGCGTTTAACAAATCATGCATGTATGTGTGAGAAAACAGGGAAAAACAAAACACAATATGCATTCTAAAGAGGAGCTAGGTCAATTCGTCGGCGGTATATTCATCATAGAAAAAAGAACAAAAAAAATCAATAGTCCGCGACACACTGTTCTGAGATGGATTGACCGTTCACCAGGAACCTAACAATGCATTTGTTTATTTTCAATGAAGAGATGGTGACGAAGCGTCCATTGATCCTTTTAGAAGAAATTGCACAGCTAATCTTGCAATGCACTCAACTCTACATCGACGCGAAAGAGCCCAAATAGACGACGATGGAGTATTATTCTCAACAAAGATAGCACAAAAAGTCATGCACTAGATGAAAGATTTGGTTTCGTTCTTTGACTCATCTGCAGTGAACTTCACATGAATTGTGTAGTCATTGAAATAGTCCTACTGATCATTGTATGCATGCAACAGTTCAATCTATGCACAACCTCTATAAGATGAACATCTCTCATAATGAACACTTTTCGGAAGGTCCCAATGGCGTTCATCTTATAGAGGTTTTACTGTATTTTATTTTTTTCATTGCCCGAATTTTATCTATAGATGTCGATAGTGAGAAATACATCTGCTATTGATAGGTTGAATGAAGCGACTATTGTCTGATAGACAGTATATGTCAAATAGACCGATTTCAAGTTCATTATTGATAGCACTTCGTTCGTTCATGTACTCACCTTTTTTTTTTTAGCTTGACTGATGGATATTCATGTGTACGTTTCTGATCCAGAAACCACTGTATTTATTGATTTTGCTGCATTTTTTTTATTTCTTCATTGCAGATTTATATAAATAATGACACACCAAAGGTTTGTTGCTACAAGTAACAAATATCCGACTTTGATCGGTACAGAATTTGACACATCCAAAGGTGTTTATATTTTAATTAAAATTGGAGAAGTTGTAGCTCAAGACAATAGCAGTTTTAAGTTGGTGTCCATGATTCCTGATCAAAAAACAAATGTAACAGATGAATTTCAAATTGCTAATCTATTGTTAGTTCCGAATGATCGATATTTCATTCAACATTTGCATTGTATTAGCAATGGTTATGGTTTGATGACTCCCAATTGAAACTCACATTTTGGAATCAAAACGCAATCGAAAATCAAATTGATTGTCCATTTTTAATAGACACAGGAGCGACAATTTCTTGTATACCAGAAGTTATGAATCCATTTCCTATTGATGCAACTTCTATTGATATAGAAACAGGTGCTGGAATAAAACGACAAAAATTAACTAAAGTTCAAATCGTTATTGATGAACACATATACAATATTATGGCGTGTATTAATTAAGAAAGTTTGTACATACTTGGGTTGGACATCTTGAAATATTATACACTTACTATTGATGGCAATAAAGCAGGGATATTGATCAAAAATAATCTTAAACCAAATCTTGAAGAAGAATTTAACATTTAAAAGTAATGATAAACACTAATGTATGTATGACAAAGAGTGATAGAAAAGTTTTTAAATAAAATGTGTGCTCACTTTTGATTCGCTGCCCAGTGATTTGAAAAATAAAAAAGCTTTCATGACTTTCATGAATTTTATGTCAAAAGTTATGCACTAGACCAAATCTTTGTACTCTTTTCGAATATAGTCTCAGAAATATCGTCTCAGAATTTGTTCACGTGTAGTATAATAACCTTTAAATGGTCAAATTTTTGAGAGTATATTCGAAAAAGACACAAAGATTTTGTATAATGCATAACTTTTATCTCGTTGGAGCTACATACATCCTAGCGAATTAAAGGTGAACAGACATTTTAAAGCTTTTCAATTTCCCATTATACTAATGTGAGATATCGTAGCTGAGAAAATATGATATTATCAAATTTTTGTTTATCGTTTATATTTTTCTTTTGTTATCGTTTGTGTCATACTACATGTCATCAAATATATCTCTTGTTGTTGACGAAGGAAAAGAATAAAGTAACGAAAGGATCAAGTAGACAGCAATGTCATGTACTAGAGCGCCAATAGCTATACAATTATTTAGTTAAGAATGAAATGATGGCTTTCAGTAGAGCAATTAATGTCACAGAGAAGTTCAAGCTTTTTAAACAACTTGTATTTTCACTGATATTTGCTTGTAGTATCTATTTAACAGTATAAGTTTTGATGAACAAATGTAAAATTGATAATCGAATTTATTGAGGCAACTTTCGAATAAACGAATAATGCAAATGGTTGCGATCTTGTTCGCTTAATCATTAAAAATGGAGGAAGATGATCTGTTGTTAGGTGCAAAAAAATAATTTTGTACAAAAGAATCAGTTCCAATTCAGCATTCATTAGACACATATCATGTCCGCTTTTAAGATAAGATGGAACGACAATGAAAAAGCTCGATCTGAACCTTTTTTTTTCTTTTTAAGAACTTTTTTTAAACAAAAACCACGATTTCAGCTGAAAAACAAAGGAAAATTTTTTAAAAGTGGGGATGTACACCCCACGATCGTCATATCCCTGTAAAAAGCCATTTAGTATAAAATGAAAATCAAATATATTCTAATACAAATAAAAGTGAATCGTTTTTTCTTTCTAATATCCGTTATAGTTATCGATTTAATAGATAATGTGGATGCGGGTTTCCTCATTTCTTCGCCCACACCTACATCCACCCACACACCCATCTTGACTCACATCGCATATATTGGATAGATTTTGATTGGAAATCATTCATAGTTTCGATAATTCTAGTTTTTCACTATAATCTATGTTTTTTTTTCGGAATGTTATTTAAGAGCTCACTATTAATTGGTAAAAGTACGAAGACATTGAAGCACATGCGTGTTACAATCTGTGTCTCATTTCCATTTACTTTTTGTTCTTAATTCAAGATTTTAGACAAGATAACAGTGAAAGAAACAAAATAAAAATGCTCTATCTTTGTTTCATACAATAAAAAAAAATCTATTTATTCACTTATTCTTTCAGACAGTTTTGGTTTGAATCCCTTAATATTGGAGACTGATTTATATACAGCATTAAATAGGAACCTTTAAATTTTTACATTCAACTTAAGACGTTAAAAAGATTTGAACAAATTATTGTCTAAAGAGTATTCATTCTTCATAAACGAAAGATCTTATAATAAAAACAATTTTATTAATACATGAGAAGAATTATTATGAAACAATAACAGGTCTATGTTAATTATCATACTAAATTTAACTCCTTCTGAAAAATTAGGGTAGGCAGTATCAAATAAAACTATGTCTTTTCTTTGTTACAATCCTATCAGCTTCGTAAAAGACGGGTTTAATGTAATTGTGACAAGGAGTATTTGTGGAGGATTTTTTATAGCGATATTTTTACTAATTTGATGAAAGGAAATTGAGGGAATAGCATTTCTTTCGAACAAAACATATTTTCAATGAATCATATTGCAAATGGTATTTTTGAAAGACGTTGGATTTATCTTCAATAGAGTATGCTTATTTTGCTAAAGCTGATCTTGACAATAGCAGCAGTGAATAGCAATTTGATTAGTAAAAAAAGCACTTATTTCAAATAGAACTCAAATGTTCGACGTAAAGATGCTTTTTCATGTATCATGATAGATACTGAAATATTACAGGGTCGCAACGGTATCCATCATGTAAATATCTGTATTTTCACTTATATTGCTAGAGGATAATTGAAAATGCAGTGAAATAATGTTTTTATCATGAAAGGAAAACAGATTCTTGATGAAAAGAAGCTTATGCAAGTGAGCAGAAAAATATCTTCAAGCATCTTTCTCTAATATGTAGCCATAATTCTTTTTGAACAAATCAACATTTCTATGACTTCGTTCATTTTTGCTAGTATCACATAGCTGATGCTTAAATCAGTTAGTTCTGTCATAGTTTAGTCATTCATGACACAGAGACAACCAGTTTTGTCGGATGTGGGTATTTAATCTTTTCTCAGTAACAACATTATGCAACATAATTTATACTAAATAAATGGTATCTGTTTGTATACAAATATATACTTTCATCCGTAGTGCCATGCTATGGTCACGTCCATAATCATTTCACCGAGATATTCTTTTTCTATTGTTTTATGAAAGGTTTGCTCTGACAAGTCGTTGTTATCACTAGCCCGCGCAACTTCGTCATTGCAACCTGTGTTTGATGAAAATTGATCGCCTACCTATTGGTAGTAAGTAATAAGTGACTTCACTACAGAGTAAGCAAAAGAAGAAAGTGTCGACATACACTAGATGCAGTGATCTGCATAGTCTTGAGAAACGTTGCTTATTACAATTTATCAAGAATTAAATGATCACTTCTCATCAAATACGTGTTGTAATGACGAAAGCACGTAGGCTAGTAACAATACTGACCTGCCAGAGCAGCGCATTACACAATTCATCAGAAAAAACAAGCGCATGCCATTAAGAATCTGATTATCTGAGGATACGCATATTTGCATTTTTTCATCTGTAAAACAACTGAGTCGGATAAATTATTCTATTGATTATAATAATAAGAAAGGTTCTATAGAAAATTTCTTCTTGGACAATAGATAGAAGAAATTTTCGGAACTTTTGGTGTATTAACTTAGGAAAAAATGTAACTCGTTGTATTTTAATAATAATAAAAAAGAAAAGAGTAAAGAAGAAAATAACAAGGCCATACGCACATATGTAACATGACAGAAAAATACGTAAGGATTTTAAGCATTACTTTTAAAAGAGTTATTGAATAAATATACAGATAAAGAATATAACCTACTGCCGACGAAACAGATGTGTTTTTGGCGATTTAAATTTGACAATTAATTTGATATTTTTTGTTAATTAATAACAAAACCACCGGCCTCTAAAATATTGAAATGCAAGCATTTGTGCAATAGATAAGTTCAGATTTGAGGTTGGTGAGATTGCTGTTTGTCGAGCGAAATCAAAGATGAATCACTGTTTGAATAACATGCATTCATATAGACGCATAGGCATATAAAAAGATAATTTCAATTGCACAAATACTGAGAACAATAAGAAAGAAAAATAAAATTAACATGTACAATTAACGTCGAATTTTCTAGTTTGATGTTGTTAAAATTTGAACAACACATTTAATAATAACTGATGATCCATTATTAAGATAAACTTTTTGAGTAAATGGAAGTGAAGGTTTAGTGAGGAATGTATCAAGTGGACATGGAAGGATATCAACCAGATGTACTGATGTATAACCGAGGTTCTCTAAATAGAAAAAAAACCAACAACTTTCTTTTTTTATCTATAAAACTAATTAAAAAATAAAACCGTTGGGTGAAAAATATTCGTTATCAAATATATTGATATGAATAATATCTTCATTAAGATTATATAAGAGAAATTGCATAGGTGCGTTCCATTTTGGATTAACTGTTCGTTTAACAAATGGTGTTTTTAATGTTAATGAACAGACAGTTATTTCACAATACGGATCAACAGAACCTTAAAAAAATAATAATTCGAAAGTGTTAACATTAATTTTTAAGAAAAACAATACTAACGATGTCGTTCGAGTGTTCTACTTGATGGCATTAAATCTAGAGCTTCTTGTACAACGAGAAGAAGACGTGCAACAGCTGCTCTTGAATTACGTTTATTATCTTCGAAAAACGAGAAAAAAACAAATATAAATAATATCTGTAATCGATATAAATAATCTAGGAATTGATAGAACGAAACAGTCTATTAAAAAAAATCTCCAAGGAAAAAAATAAAAGATGCATCACATAATTTATAATCGAATTACTCATATTAAAGATGAATCTCGGTTTTTGTTTTTATCAATAACATTATGCTATTATAATCGATAGTTTAGATACCATAGTTGATGTTAACAATTTTTATGAGTCTCTCGATAAATGAATCGAACAATTACTTTCTTTCTTTTTCTATGCCTTCATATAAAATACATCAATTTACATACAGTGAGTATCAAAAGTATTCGACAAGGTTTATTTTTAAATTTTTTTCCACTGTCGTAATCGCTAGCAAACGTTAAACTAATGATTCGAGTCGAGAAAATTATTTCTAATAGAAATGGAGATTGATAGGATAATTAATTCTCTATAAAACCAGACACCCACACCCTCTTTACCTGTAATTGTAAACATTGCTTTATCAGCTAGAATTGATTTTTCTGCTGCTTGACATTCTTCAACAGCATTATTAATTGATTTTACCCATAAAGTACTAAAAAAAAATCACCTATTAAATTAATATATTCGATTTGAAAACATACCGAACATTAGTTTGTTGTGTTTTTAATACTAATGGTTTCTCATGAATTTTCGATGCAATAGAAAACGTTAATTGATCATTGAGTGATTCGTTAGCAATGATAATATCAGTTAAAAATAATGGCTAAGAAAAATAAAAAGAGAAAAAAATGATAACAATAAAAAAAAAACTCGAATGAATTTAATCAAACCAAACGATAAAGTTTTAATTGTAAAGTTGATTTTTGTTCAAATAATTGTGTTTGCCAATTAGCTGATGATGATTTCATAGTTGAACATAGAAGAAAATCATTAAATAAAAATGCTAATAATTCTTTTCCACTAGGCACCTAAAGAATCGAAAAGAAAAAGAAAAATTATTTTAAGATATACTAGAAGTAATGACGGAGAAGTTTAAAATTCTTAATGAAAAAAAAGCTTAAAGAAACTTTCTACAAACGACCTGATAGTAAAAACAATATTCTACATTTCTCTGATACTTGATCATTCTTTAACCAATATTATAATAATAAAATTTCGATGAGGACTGTTTGTTATGATATGTTTCGATCTTATTTTATCTTCAATGTGTCTTCTTTAATGCCTAGTCGTTTATACATATGAGGAAGGTATACAAAAAATAATAACAGGAGAACAAAAAAAAAATTACAGAAACAAGTTCATCAAGTCTTTATTTCATTGAATTCATTTATCGAACGTTTTTATTTACTACTCTTATTTATTCAAATAATTCATGAATTTTTCTATAACATGATGCAATGATTTGGAATTGTTTTGATTGTTTAGATTTTGTTTGATGAACGAGAAAAGTTCCTCAACTCATAAATCGCTTCCGAGTCAACTCCATCGACATTATGTAGAACCAAATGAGCTATAAACACTCTGAAAATAGTTTAGACTCTTAATTTATTACTGCGTAGACACTACAAAATAACGGTACCCAAGGCGAACATTCAGAT